CTCTTACCGCGGGCCGCGCGCGCAGGCTGGAGGAAGCTTCGCGGTCCTCCGCAAGGGAAATGCCCCCTTTCGAAGCCGTTCCTTTGCGCCCTAAAACAAGTAGCCCCAACGTGAGAGAAACAAAAGGTATTTGCTGACGTGGGCGTTGGACAGAAACGCCCGAGGGCTAAGGACACAATTAAAGGGGCAACGCACAGATTTCAGGCACCAACCAGCAGCTTCGCCCACTCCCCCTGCCCTCGCCTACACCCCGCTGCACCCTCCGGAGGCGCTGGGGTGCCCAGATTCCCTAGCAGTTGACTACGGAATCAATATTTAGTCAGGAGCTGAAATTTAAAATTGTATTTTACGTTGGGAAAGGCGCCTCCGGAGGGCAGAAGGGCTGGATTTCTAGGATCTGGGGAATTTGGTTTAGGAAAGAGGGAGGGACTTAGGCGTGTCCACAATTACTGTATAAGTACATGTGACATTGTTGTACTTAAGTTTAGCAATGTCAACCGTAAGCGATTTCCACAGAATTTTTTCTCTTATTGAAGCCCTTCTTTTAGTCGGAGAAAACCTTTTCTAAACCTCTACAGATCGCAGGCATTTTATTCAAAGAGGAAAACCCAGACATTCTGAGATAAGAGAAAATAATTCTTGGTTAAGTTCAGAAAAAATAGGAAACTTGTAAAAATAGTCGGTTTTGTGTTTGCAAATACAAAATTCATTGCACATCAAGCTTTTCTTCTGACGTATTTATTTCCCTAATATTTAGAGTACAAACAGGTTATATATTTGCTAAAATATTAAATCACTGAACTTTCGCTGTTATTACAGAAATATTAATTCTATAAACTAAATTAGTTTCTAGTTCCTTATGCTGGGGTCAGGTACTGAAAAGTACTGTGATGTAGTAAAAGTGAAAAAAAGACTGAAAATTTTTAAACATGTAGGTTTTTTTTTAATAGATTCCTGTCCTGTGTCATACATAGTCCTGTCAAAGTTTATTCCTTTGGTTTCATCAAAAATTAGTTATGTATTTTAAGAATCATACTGCTCTATGAGGATATAAAATATTCACAGCTATCTCAATATCACTTCTGTATTACTCTAGGGGTATTTTGCTATGTAGTTGAATTTCCTCACATTCAGAAAGGTAAAATGGGGGAGGGGGGGACGACCAAAGAAAAGAAAAACATTAAAAAAAGAAAACCAGAAACGTAAATGGCAACATGTTTGAAAACCACTAGGTATCAGGAGTGTTGGATGTCCTCAAGTTACTCTGCTAGCATCAGCATTGAGAATTCTCCCAGAAAGACCTGGCCATTGTTATGGCAAAAGCTTTTGTTTTAGCCTTTGTTACTTAAAATACGAAAAAGTTCTACAAACTTGTTCCTGGAGAGCACATCAGATCAGTGATAAACTCTTTATTGCAAGGAGGAAATAATGGAAGATTTTTTCCTCACCTTTCCTGTCCTAGCTTCTGAAACTCATTTATACATTTGGAGTAGGAGGTAGAATCTGCCTTCTGCAAAGAACTTGGAAATGCCAGTGACTTGCTTCCCCAGAATCTCTTGCAGTTAGGACCATGGTCAAGGTCTACATTTGATAATCAGATGTACCCAACAGGGACCTTGAAGAGGGAGCTATGACACCAAGAAGCAGGAACCTCAAAGAGTCTTTTTCTGGCAGTGGTTACAGTTGCAGCAAGATAGTATCTTTAGGTGTCATAGTGGCAGTGCTGCTGGTGGTGACAGCATTCACTGTCAAGTGCTAGTGCTGTCAGTGGTGCCAGCTGCCGTGTCTGTTTGCTGAGAGCAGCGTTGGTATCCTCAGCAGGCCAGTTCTGTGGTATGACATGGCTATTGTTTCTGCCTGTTTAGTATAGGCTCTAACCCCTGTGCTCTGCTCTTCCTGTGATCTGTGAAATTTTAATAATTCATTTCTGCTTAAATCAGCCAAGGCCAGTCTCTGTTCAGCTAATCCTGAATGGTACAAAATGTTAAGAAGGCACCTAAACAGCCCAGCCGGGCGTGGCTCCGCAGTTGAGCGTTGGCCTAGGATCCAGACGATTGGGGTTCGATTTCTGGTCAGGGTACACGCCTGGGTTGTGGGCTTGATCCCCAGTCAGGGGCGTGCAGGAGGAGGCTGATCAGTGACTCTCATCATTGATGTTTCTATCTCTCTCCTCTCCCTCTCCTTTCCTCTCTCTAAAATCAATAAAAATATATTTTTAAAAAAAGAAAGAAAAATAAAAAGAAGGCACTTGAACTTATGACCTGTAGCTTAATAAAATTGTTTGAGATAAAATGTTGTCATCAATGTCGTATACATGCGATATGGATAGAGAGAATATAAAGCGAGAAGAAAAGCAGGCTTAGAACCAAGCTTGAGCAACTTCATCATCTAGTGGCTGGAAAGAGGAAGGTGAAATTGGAAATAAGACTGAGAAGTGACTAGAGACAAAGAAAGAGACCTGGGATAGTGTGGTGTTACAGAAACTAGAAGAGAGTATTCAAGAAGGAAGAATTGGACGATAGTGTTAAATAAGTCTCTTAGCAGTCCAAGAGAAAAATGTCTATTAGGTTTAGAAACTTGGAGATCATTTACTTCAGAGACCATTATTAAGCCTCAAAGAAGGGAGCAAAATTCAGATTAAATAAGCGGGGGATAAAGAAATAGAGATAAGAATAAACTCTTCTGAGAGATTTGGTTGTAAAGGGGATGTTTCAGTTACTGTTTCTGTGTAACAAACCAACCCAATCTTAGTGGCATAAAACAAAAACTATTTTATTATGGATCCCAAGGGTCAAGAATTTGACAAGTCGCCCGGCCGGGCGTGGCTCAGTGGTTAAGCGTCAACCTAGGATCCAGGCGATCAGGGTTCGATTCCCGGTCAGGGCACATGCCCGGGTTGTGGGCTGCAGCCAATCAATAACTCTCTCATCACTGATGTTTCTATCTCTCTCTCTCCCTCTCCTTTCCTCTCTCTGAAATCAATAAAGATATATTTAAAAAAAAAAAAAAAGAATTTGACAAGTCGTAGCAGGGCATCTGGTCTGTTTCACAATGTCTGGAGTCTCAGCTGGGGAGACTCAGATTGCTGGCGGATGACTTGAAATGCTAGGACCTGGGATCATCTGGAGGCTTCTTCACTTGCGGATCTGGTGGGGTCACTTGAAAAATGGGCTCAGCTGTGAGTGTCACCTGGAGCACCTACACATGGCCTCTCCATGTGGCTTGGGCTTTCTGGCAGCATGATGGCTGGGTTCTACGAAGGGAGGGTTCCCCAAGAGGCAGTATTTCAAGAGAACTAGGAAGAAGCTGCTTTTATACCCACCTACAGAAGTTGTACTGCCTCACTTCCATTGTGTAAAGTAATCACAAGCCTACCAAGAGTCAAGCAAAAGGGCACATAGCTGCTATCTCTTAATGGGAAGACTATCAGAGAATTTTGGGTCACGTTGTAAAGCTACTACAGCAAAAATGCTTAAATGCTGAGGGAAAGCATAAAGATGAGGAGACATTGACTATAAAGAGGAATAATTAATAATGGCTGAATTTCTATAAATTCAGGGAGGAGATCAAAATCTCAAATAGAGCAACAGCCCTTGGGTAGGAAAAGTGATAACTTCATTGTCCCCACTGAAACTGGAGGGCAAAGAGAAGACCATGGGTAATTGTGTGTGTGTGTGTGTTGGGGAAGGGGGTAGTGTTTGAATGCCTACATATTTTTTGACCCAGCTCCCTTCTAGGGGTTGATCCTAATGAATGTGAGTTGGACTTAGTGACTTGCTTTTAAAGAATAAAGCGGGAATGATAATGTGTGATTTCAGAGTCTTGGTGATAAAAGGCAAAGCAGCTTCCTGCTTGTTTTTCTCTGTGTTGGGTCAGTTGTTCTGGGAGATACTCAGACAGCCCTGTGGAGATGAACTGAGGCTTTCTGCCAAAAGCCATGTAAGTGAGCCATCTTGGAATGTATATTCCAGCCCCCGACAAGCCTTCAGCTGACTGTAGCCCCAGCTATCAGCTTGACAGATCTCATGAGGAGCCCCAAGCCAGAACCAACCAGCTAAGATGCACCCAAATTCCTGACCCTCAGAAATCTTGTGAAGTAATGAATGTTTTTTTGTTTTAACCCATTATGTTGTAGGGTAATTTGTTATGCAGAGATAGATAACTTATACAGATTGTGGTACCTAAAAGTGCTACCATAACAAAAACCTAAACATGTGACTTTGGAACTGGGCAGTGGGCAGAGGCTGGAAGGACTTTGAGGTAAGCATTAGTGAAAGCTTGAGCCTTTCAAAAAATAGAGTCCTGGTGGCCTTTGAGGAAGCTTCAAGTGAGGGTTTAAAGGAGAATTATAAAAATTTTATTGGGTCCTGGCTGGTGTGGCTCAGTTGGTTGAGCGTTGTCCCATGCACCAAAAGGTTTCCGGGTCAATCCCCAGCAGGGGGCGTGCAGGAGGCAGCTGATCAATGACTCTTATCACTGATGTTTCTATCTTCCTCTCCCCTCCTTTCTGAAATCAATAAAATACATACATATATATTTTTTAAAGCTACACTTAGACAATCTGAGTTTATGATTTAGTATATATATTTTAAATTGATCTTGAGTGAAAAGGAGGGAGAGAAAGAGAGAAATCTTGATGTGACAGAAAAACATCAATTGGTTGCTTCTTGCACACACCCTGACCCAGAATCAAACCCACCACCTTTTGGTGTATGGGACAGTGCTCCAACCAACTGAACTACACTGGCCAGAGCAGAACTATATTTAATATTGAGATACATGAACTACTTGTAGCTTTAATAATCCCTCTGCTCTTCATGGCTTTTTTATTGTTTATACTTATTTAATCATCTTACATGAAGTCCTTTATTGAGATGGTATTGTTCCAGTTATTATTACTGTATATCCATCCCAAACTTAAGTGATAAAACAACCACTTTATTATGCTTATGATTGATTTTTTATTTTTATGACTGTTTCATTTTTATGATATGATTTATTATTGATTCTGTGGATCAGGAATTCTGAAAGCGCACAGTGGGGGATGCTCGTCTCTGTCCACCTTGTCCTGAGCATCAGCCGGTGACTAACAGCTAGGAGCCAGAACACCTGGGGATGCAGGAGTCGCTCTAAGGTGCCTTCTTACTCACATGGCTGAGCCTGGGCTGGAAAGGCTGAAGGCTGGGCTCAACTGGAACTGTCCTCTCCATGTGGCTTGTCTCTTCACCACAAGGTGGCTGAGTTCCATTGGGGAGCAA